TTTTTTTATTATTTTATTATTTTTGTGTGTGTGTACCGTCAAATCAGATCTGACTGGTACAGGAGGAGATTGTCCCTCCTTCCCCGGCAGAGCATCTGGTGGCTTTGAACCGTGTGCCTCTCGGATTGTAGTTGCAGCTCCTTGCCACTAGGCCACCAGAGCTCCCCTAGGAAATATAATTCTTAATGGTGGAACATTTGAAGCAGTTCTTTTAAATTCAGAGAAAACCAGTGGTGCCTGTGAACAGCAGTCCACATGCCACAGTGTGGGAATCAAGTCTTGTGCAGTAAGGGGAAGAACACACAAAGCTTGTCCTGATAATGTCCAGTTTGCAGATTGATGTGGGTTCCTTCTGGGGAGAGTTGCGTAACTGCCATTCATGTTACAAATATTTTAAAAGTACACTATTTTCACGTCTCAATTTAAAAAAAAACTTGTCATTTTTGTTAGACATTTTGTTTTTTTAAATTTTATTTCTTGTTTTTTTGTGTATGGTCAAATCAGATCTGATCGGTACTAGAGGAGAGTGTCCCTCCCCCGGCAGAGCATCTGGTGGATTCAAACCGTGCACCTCTGGGATTATAGTGCAGCTTCTTGCTTCTAGGCCATCAAAGCTCCCGCTGGTTAGGCATTTTGTGACAAGGTCAGAAAATTTGGTGGAAATCACAGACGTTAAACCAAGTCTCTTTATTTTTTAAGGTGGAAAGTATTTTAGAGGTACAGGAACAAGTATAAAGGAAGCAAAGGTTAGTTTCAGAGTATAGATGATGTTTGACCAGCAGGAAAATAACAAATATTTAAAGTTGAGTGGATGCAGACCCTGACACACGTCACAGAGACAGCTCTAGGCCTCTGGAGAAATGGGATAATGTTGGGCTGGACCAGGAGCCCAAGCCAGCTAGATTGGGTCCTTCCTTCCCCAAGATTCTTTCATATTCTGCCCTTAAATCCTCCACAGTTGGACTATGTACACAAGGCTGGGGGACCCCGGCCAGAGAATTGAAGTAAGGAGTATGGAGTCAACCAAACTGCCACTTGGTAATGATTGATCTGGAGGTACCCCTCCCTGGCCCAGAGCCTGCCCTCACTGTGAATGACATCCTGGCCCCCATGGCCTCCCCCCTGCCAACCTTGAGTCTTCCTGCTAAATCTGTAAATCACTCGCTGGTTGGTTTCTGGGAACTCTGTGCTGCAGTCTCAGCAAGATGATGCTCCTGGTTGGTGATCCTCTTCCAGATGAAGGCCCTAACCCCTCCAGGGACAAGGGGATGGGGTCCATCCCACAGGCAGGATCTAGCATTTTTTTGAGACTCAGTAGGGAGTTTCCAGCTCATGACCTTCCCCTGACTCTGGTGGCTGGGGACTAGGGGTCCTGCTCCGGGTCCGCCTCCGTCCTTCCTGGCAGCCAATGACTGCCTTGCCCAGCCTCCTCCCAAATGAGCTCTATCTTAGTTTTCCCCTTTTCCTGTGTCACACATCACACACACACACACACACACACACACACACACACACACACACACAGAGATGGCCCTTCGAAGTTCTTCTCTTGGTGACCCCTCTCTTACCCCCCAGCATGGCCACCTTGACACTCACTGATTCCTCCTTATTCCCTGTTCCTTGAGATTAGGGAAGGGGGGAAGTTCTAGCAGGCACTTCCTCCCCTTGGGTACCCCCAGATATGTGTGTTCTCACTCAAGATCCCCTTGCTGAGCAGTCGTCATCTCTGTTCTTAGCTGTAAAGCTCCTAGATGTTGACACTGCGGTTATATATTTCCCTCCTGATCTGATTGTTTTTGTAAGGCCACATGATTATTGAATGCCTGCCCTCTCCGCACCCCCATCAGAGCAGGCTGTAAGGTGGGGCAGGGGAGGACCCCAGAGGAACCAGCTGCCTGGGCCTCCCAGGTCCATAGGGACAGCTCTCCTTGGCCTCAGTTGGAAAGACTTTGAATTAACATCCTTCATAGCAGTCTGCCAGTTTTCCATACTCGGGTTGCATTTTTAAGCCTTTAGGTCAGTGACTTGCCCTACATTTAAAGGAATTTCAGGAGTTATGTTTTATATTTTGCTCCTGCAAGAGCTCTCACTTTATCTCTGTCCTGCATTCCCATTTGCTTGTGCCTCTGGCCGGTCATTCCGTTCTGTCTTTTGTTTTTAATGTGTTTATGTAAACAAAACCAAACCATAAAAGTGCATGCCTTTTAAAAGTGTATAAAAGAGATTCTGTGTCTCATTTTGTTTCTTTTCACCCAATACTAGGATTTTACGATCTATCCATGTAGCTTTCACCTCTACCTCCTCTGTGAGGTCCTAACCCATTTTCCCCCTTCTCATCTTCTCACTTGCATCAATAATGCAATAACCATTCTCAGACTATCAGGCAGTGCTTCTCAAACCTTGGTGTGCACGTGTGTCACTTAGGAATCTTATTAAAATGCAGTCTTTGATTTAGCAGGGGTGGGGTGGAGTCCAAGACTGAATATCTAGCAAGTTCCCAGCTGATGGGCCAGCCTGTGCTGCCGGTCCTGGGATCTCACTTAGAGAAGCAAGAGGCTTATCAACCTCAGCGAGCATTCCTGTGGGCCTTGTGGGTCATAGGGTCTGTGTTGATTTCAATTGATAAGAATCATCTCATCTATTCTCTCATTTGTTTGACTAACTGCCTTACCCAACACCAGCAGGGCAGGATGATGAGAAGCATAGAATTATGGGGAGAAAGGAAAAGCGTTTTCTTGCTGTGTCTGAACTGAGTCAAAGTCTCTTTCATTCTTAACCGAAACTGCCCAAAGCCTTCCTGGTCTGCACTGCGACCACACAGGACCTGTAGCCTTAGACCCCAGGCATCTACATCATTTAGACTCCTAATCTTCCCAGGCCTGTGCTTTCTCTCCGATAGGGGCTCTTGAAAACAGGAATTGAGAGGCCATGGGTCTTTAGTAAGTGTATTTCCTCCAAACCATATGGCTTTCTCTTCAGCAGCCTATTAAGAGCAGCCCCAGAATCAAATGACATGGCTTTGCTACGTGCAAATAGCTCTCCTGAGCCTGACATTCCTATCTCTAAAATGGGATCATAATATAGTTATAGGGATCAGGTTTGATATTCTTCATTTTTGCAAGGCCCCTTTGTGATGCTAGGAGCCCCCTTGTAAGACAAGTGTTCTAACTTCAGTTTTACTCATGAGAACATTGAAAGTTCAGGGAGGCTTAGCAAGTTCCCTGAAGGCCATGAAGCTAGAATGTGACAATGCTGGCATTCCAATCCAGTATCTGTGAATACAGCATAGCCTATGAATACACCCGAACCTTGAAGCAATACAGTCTCCATGCCTTGCCTTGCCCTCACTGCCTGGCCATGTTTCAAGGAGAACCACAGGGAAATGGGAAGGAAGGGCTGTGTCACCGTTAGATCTAACCAGGCAGATGTCCCCAGAAAATGAGATTTAGCAAGGGTGAAGGAGATAATCAACATCGTCCCTGAGACTGTTGCCCAGGAACTGAGTCCTTAGGGAGCAGGAGAAAGGAATCAGAACTCGGGCTGCAGGAATGGGGATTTTAGATTTAGAGGTGAGGGTCCAAACTGGGCTGGAATTATTGGGGAGGAGTATAGATTAAGGGAGGACAGAAGTTGGAGGTTACTTCAAGGTCAAATTTAGGAATGGGGTCAGGTTCAGGTAAGTGGGTGCCAGATGTGGATAAGATTGCCTGTCATGTTCCTTATTTGTTAATAACTAATCAGTATGTTGTCTGGAAGGGATAGGATATGTGTGAACGGCCAACATCCACATCAAGAAAAGCCACCTTCTGTGCCACCCTTGGTACTGTCAGCAGCTTGCTGGGCAGTTTTGGGAAACCATGTGCTGGCTTCCCCTACACACTTAATTCTGTAACCATCTCCAGGCACCAGACAAACCCTGGCCCCAAGCATTTCACAATAGAATTCCAAGTTGCACATCTAAACATTCTGAGACTCATGGCACATGGCCATTTACATCTTGTCCATACCCATCTATTTATCATCTTGGGGCCAAAATTCTATCTGTGACAAGAGCATTTCCCTGAAGGCCCATTTGCCTGCTTTTCAAGGGCCATGAGGGCCAGAAGAATTTTTGAGCCTGTAAAATGTTCTTAGTGTTCAGAACAATATCTTAGCATTTTCTGGTCTTTACAAAACACTTCATTGACTTTGACTCACAACAGCTTCATGACAATATTGGGATTCATTTAACGCTGAGGTTCAAAGGACATACTTTGGCTAAGATCACATATGGTGTGGATGGGTGAAATGAGACAAATTTGTTTTTCTACATCAAACCTTAAGTCTTAACGAGTGTGTAGCTCTTCTCTGAGGAACCATACTATCCTAGTTGGTTTCATTTCCCAGACTTGTGAATATATAGTTGAGGGAAGAGGCAGGATGTCTGGGAAATGTGTGCATCCTGGGTAGAAAGACTCAGAACGAAGATTAAGTTGAGGTCTTGTGGTTGCGCCTACTCAGTCCTGTGCTGTCAGTGAGGCTCTTTCCTGATCTGTGGGACCTTAGAAAATGGGAAGAGGGGTTGTTAGGAGATGGGAGAATTGGTGGGAATCCACATAGGAGTCCTTCATCAGGTTTGAGGTAGCTGAGCAGTTGCAAGAGGATGCTGCTGCTGGTTGCCACAGGAGACCTGACAGTGTCACCACATCACATGAGAACCCTGTGGTTTGGCCCTTTAGTTAAACCTTCCACCCAAGTCCATCCTCTGTCCCCTGTCCTTTGGCCCCTGTTCTCCCACACCAGATAACTTGCACTATCATTTTCAGGGCTGTGCCCTGAGGCCAGGCCAGACTGCCCTGTCAGCTCTAGAAATTCTACACAAGACTCAGCCCATGCTAGCAGCTGGCATGTCCGGGCGTCTGAGGCTGGAAGGCCCTGGCCCCACCACCCTTCCCTATGCCCTGGCCTCAGGCCCTGAAGCCTGGGTTTAACAGACACAAGCAGTGGGATGAGATTGCCTTCTATTGGTCCATGTCCTGAGTGTGGCCAGGGTAAGACATAGAAGCAAGGAGGCCCATGAGGCTCAGCAGCGTGGAGAGAAGCATCAAGAAGGAGGTGGTGAAGAGCAGGGCGGGCAGAGCGCTGAGCACCAGCAGCAGGATAGCGGGCAGCAGGTGGCGCCATGCTGCAGCCACCACAGGCCACAAGGATCTGAGCAAATGGGAGCCGGTGGTGAAGAGCGCATGGCACAGCATCAGCGCCAGCAGCAGGTAGAGCATCCCCTCAAGCCCCCACAGCACGCGCTGCAGTGGCTGCCGCCAGCCTGATGTGGCCCACCACCGGGCCCAGCTCTGTGGCACGCGGCAAGCCCACCAGCGTGCCCAGCTCTGCCGTGAGACCCAGGCCAACCACGGCCCTACAGGCTGCAACCCCTCACCAGCCCCGATGGCATCTGGGTTCACATGTGGCTGCTGCATCATGCCTGGTGCACCTGGGGAGAGGGCTGGGTCAGTTGCAGGCAGAGCCCTGCGGGGCCTGAGAGTGTCAGGGGTCAGGAGGGCACCCATGTGGTTGGGAGGGGGCCTAGGACTTACCTCTGGGCAGAGCCACCTAAGTCATGTTGCTTCCTGAAGTGCCCAGGATGGCCTGGCAGCTGGAACAAATCCCCCACTCTTGCCAACCCCCACCCTCCCCAGAGCAGCCCCATTGTGATGTGGGCAGGGGTGGGGTCCAGCCAAGAGAGGAGCCTCTGTGGCCCTTCCAGGCTGGCAGGGGAACCAGATGAGCTCACAGATATCTAATGCTTTCTATTCTCCTAACCTTCCCCTGCTGATAGTCAGCCCCACCCTACTCTCTTTCTCTAGGCCTTCCTTCTCTTGAGTCACAGAGGGGGCCAGAATGACCACCTCCAACCTGCAGGCCCTGAGTCCACAGCCATATTCTGCCCAGGATTTATTGAATCTCATCAGGCTATCCCTACCTATTAACCCAAGGTCCACTAGCCACGTTTGGAAGTCAGTGTTGTTAAATGCTGTCAGGTCAATTATGACTCGTCGCCAGCCACTCTGTGACTGACAGATATGAACCTTGAACCATCCTGCACCGTCCTTATGATCTGTCATGCTCAAGCCCATTGGAGCAGTCACTGTCAATCCATCCTGTTGAGGATCTTCCTCTGACCCTCCACCTTTCCCAGCTTGAAGTCTCTCTCCCAGGACTGCTTCCTCCTGAGATTATGCCCAAAAATAAATGAGACAAAATTTCACCATCCTTGCCTCTAATCAGCACTCTGGTTGCACTTCTTTCAAGATTTGTTTGTTCTTTTGGCAGTCTATGGGACATTCAATACTCTTTGCTACTATTCAAAGGCATCAATTCTCTGTTATCCTTATTCATTGTCCAATAGGCAGTGGTCCCTGAGAATAAGCAGTACTACCCTCACCCCTATCCCTGTGCCTGGTCCATGATGGAATAAATGTGATCCAGGGAAGCAGATGGTCAGTATATTTTTGAAAGGTTATCCAGTGTTTTGAGGACACTCAGACCCAAGGGTGGAGGCAGAAAGCCAGGCCAAGCAGTGCCAAGGGTATGCCGTGGACCCGCAGGAGCAGACCCAGGCCTGATAACAGGAGCAGCAATGCATCTTGCAGGCTGATTTGTCTTGGAGTTGACACTTGCAGCAGATGTGCAGGTCCCTGCGGTCCTGGGCCTTCACCGGCTCCCTGGCTCTGCCCCCCTGTGAGAGTCCTGTGCTGCAGGGTGGGAGTTCTGGCTCTGTGCAGAGAAAGGAGGCAACTGGGCTCACGGAGCTTGGCCACTTGCCACCTGCCTATGTCTCTGACCATTGGCCAGGCTATGGGCCCACTTACCCATGGAGCAGGTCAAATGCAAGGAAATTGACCAGTAGCAGCAGTAGCAGCAGTGCTGGTCCCGAGGTGAAGAGGACTGCTTGAACTGTCAGCCCCAGTGCTGCCAGCCCTAGGGCACTGTCCAGGAACTGGGCCACGCTAGAACTCCAGAGGGACAGGCTTGGGCTCACTGTATTTTCCAACATCTCTCCAACATCCAGTTCACTGTGAGGGGCTGGGATCCAACTTGCCAGTGTTTGGGGCCTGAATAAGCAGAGCCAATTCATGGAATGATATGCAGGTGACAGGAAGGACTAGGAGCAAATATCAGGGATGTGGGTATGGGAGGGGATGAGGCCCTACTAGACATTTACAGATGAGCTCTCAAAATGTGAAACTGGATTTGAATTAGGCATGAATCTTCCCTTTACCCCACATCCATCCACCAGACCCTCCTTACCTCCTCCTACATGGGCCAGCCATTCTGGGACTGGGCAGTTGGGGCATTGTGACTACTGCCAGCTAAAGTGCTGAGGGGGGAAAGGGGCAGTTGCCTGGTCCAGGCCTCATAAGCAACTGGGGTGGGGCTTGATGGTTTACCCATAGCCAGTGATTTCTGAGAAATAAGACTCATCTTTCTCGCCTTGCCAAGTCTCTGCCCAGCACTCTCTTTTGGGAATCTAAGTTCTTAGGAAGACATTCTTATCCCATCTTGTATGGGCAGCAGGCCAGAAGAGAGATGGAAGAGCTACTGTCTTCCTGTGTGTTCTCAGAATTATGTGTCCAGGGGCAAGGCATTCAGTTGATCTGTCCCCATATCTCTCTTCTGAGGGTGATGTCTGTGGGACTTGTTTGTTGTTGTTGAGTGCTTCAAGCTGACCGCAGTCATAATGGCCTGTGGATAACCTTGATCTGTCCTGCACTATCCTCATGATCTCTGACATGCTCAAGCCCTTGCTCAAGTCACTGTGTCAGTCCACCCCCTGGAGGGGCGTCCTCTCTTTTGCTGATCCTCTACATTTCCCAGCATGATTTCAAGCTCTAAGATCTGATTCCTTCTGAAAATATATTCAGAGTAAGGGAAACAAAGCTTCACTTTCCTTGCCTCTAAGGAACATGCTGGTTGCACTTTCTTCAAGGCATATTTGTTTGATTGTACGGCAGTCTATGTTATATTCAGCACTCTTTGCCAATACCACAATTCAAAGACAACAGTTCTTCTTTGATCTTCCTTATTGTCCAATTTTCAGATGCATAGGAAGCAACTGAAAATACCAAGACTTAATCAGGCACACCTTAGTCTTTAAACTGGCATCCTTGCTTTTTAGAACTTTAGCGAGGTCCTTGACAGCAGATTTCCCCACTGCAACACATCTGTTGATTTCTTGACGGCTGTTACCATGGATGTTGATTATGGATCCAAGTAAAATTAAATAGTTGACAATTTCAATCTTTTATCCATCTATCACGAAGTTGCCTATTGGTCCTGTGGTGAGGATTTTTGTGTTCTTGATGTTGATATGTAACTCATATTGAAGGTTGTAGTTTTTGATTTTTGGGATTAAGTGCTTTAAGTTCTCTTCACTTTCAGCAAGCAAAGTGGTGCCATCTGCATAACACGGGTTGTTAACAACAACAAAAAAACACAAGGTAGCTCTGGAAGACAGAGGAAATAATTTAAAGCTTTCTAAAGCTGAGCTCTCACATAATCTGCTAAATGGAGTAAGAGCAGAAGGGCACTGTTTAGATATTCTAGGCCCAATAGTCTGTGGAAGGTATTCTGGAGTTGGGGATTCAAGAAATGGGGTAGAAGATGTGAATGTCAAGGAATACAACAAAGTCTCCCTCCATATTGGAGGATGAAATGAAAAAAATCAATGTAATAAGTGGACAAAGAGTCAGAGCAGCACAATGGATAAGTGTTTTGACTACCAGTTTAACGGTTAGCAATTCCAACCTGCCAGCTGCTCCATAGGAGATGTGTCAGTCTGCTTGCATAAAGACAGCAGCCTTGGAAACACCATGGAGCCACTCTACTCTGTCCTGTAGGGTCTCTGTGGTCAGAATGGACTCACAGCAATGGATTTGTTTCTGTTTTGTTTGGTTTAATGAAGTAGTTGGTCATTTAGAAAAGCGATCTGTCCCCACAGACGAGCTGTGCACAAGTAGCAACTGCAGAGCTCCAGCACAGTTCAGTGACTTGAGAGGCAGAAATGGGTGACCTCTAAGGAAACTTAATCCTTGTTCCCATGTCATACTTTGATGGATAACTCTTGGTGGAAGACAATCTTCTGGGAAAAGAGGAGATAAGATAACTGCTGTTGGCAGGGCCTGGAAAAGGGCAACCTGTAATGAAGATCTACATCCTTGGTGAGCTCAGTGATGAGCTCAACACTGTGTTTGCTCAAACTCGCTTTGCATTTCCAGCATTTACGCTTCTGGCATAGAAGTATCTGTAAGGGAGAGAGTAGACTTCAGGTTCTTTGGGGGGTGGGTGTGTCTATGTATATCAATTCCAGTGTCCTTTTTAAATTAGCTCACCAGCATGGTCACTTCAGAATTTATTCACAGGATTGCATTCCTGCAAAATCTTAAGCCGAGAGTCACCAAGTTGAAGCCACTCTTAGTGCACCAGGGAAAGGATAAAGGTGGCTGCAGTTCTGTGATGATTTACTATGCACCAGGTGCTCTGTGTACAATTATAGGAAAGTCTGTTTGTCATTTCCTCAATTTCAGAATTTGTTTTCCATTTGATAATCTTTTTCATCTGTGCCAGATGCTAGATTGTGATTGCTAGCAACAGAGCCCAAGATGAGGATACTTGTACATGTGACCTGTTGAGAGTGGGCTCTCAAGAGGCAAAACTCCTCCTGGGAAATGGGGGACAGGAAGCAGGGCAAGACCGGGAAAAGAGCTAACTAAGCAAGAATGTGGTCCTGGTTGAAGTCAAGCCTCAGCTTGGTCTCACGGAGAGCTCTGAAAGGTGAATGGTGCCACAGAGTTGTTGTTGTGGCTGTTAGGTGCTGTCAAGTATGACTTAAAGAGACCCTGTGAACAACAGACCTGAATCCTGTCCTGTCCTGTGCCATCTTCACAATCTCTGATATACTTGAGCCCTTTGCTGCAGTCTATCTTGTTGGGAGTCTTCCTTTCTTTCACCAGCCCTCTACTTTTCAAGTATGATGTAACTTTCTGAGGAATAGCTTCTCCTAGCAACATATCTAAAGTTTGCCATATTCACCTCCAAGGAGCCTCTGGCTATACCTTTCCCAAGAAATACCTATTTATTGTTTTATAAGTCCATGAGGTATTCAGTTCTCTTCTCCAATAACACAACTCAAAGGCATTGATTCTTCTTCTGTCATCCTTATTGTCCAGCTCTCAGATGCAAAGGAAGTGACTGAAAAGACCGTGATCTGAATCAGACACACCTTAGTTTTCAAACTGACATAATTGCTCATCCCTAATTTGGAGAGGCCTCTGACTGCTGACTTTCCCAATGCAAATGTCTCCTAATTTCCTGACTGCTCGGACCAAGGGTGTTGACTGTGGATCCATTGACAGTTTTAGTTCCTTCTCTGTCTATCACAATGTTGCATATTGCCCCGTGATAAGGAACTTTCTTTTCTTGATGCTGACATGTAATCCATATTGAAGGCTGTAGTCTTTGATGTTCTGCAGCAAATGCTTCAGGTCCTCCTCACTTCCAGCAAGCAAGATTGTGTCATCTGCATAATGCACGTTGTTGATGGATCCTCCTTCAATCCTGATGCCACATTCTTCTTCAGAGTTGGCCAAAGAGTTAGTCCCATCTTATATCCCTACATAAGTCATTGGCTATGATCTCTCTACTTTGAGGAGAGGAGGGAAAATGTGTATAACCTCCAGAGTAAGGTAGTTCTGATTAGCTGACAGAGCTTCTGTCCTTGTTATGTACCATCGAGTCAGACTCGACTCATAGCTTATCCTCCAGTGGGTTTTCAGAGGCAGTTAATCACATGGGAGTAGACTGTCCATCTTTCTTCTGCAGAACAACTGGTGGATTCGAACCTTGTGCTTTTGAGTAAACACTAAGCCATCTGAAAGGGAGCGCCATCTGGTAAACAGGAAATAGAGGAGACTTAAGTTGTGAACATGTAATTCTTCACCTCAAGGAACTTAAACTTTGTGATTAAGTGGTATGATGTGTCATGTCATGCATACATGGACACACTTACACACACACTCACACAGAATGACCAGCAGGAAGTCTGGCATTACTCTAGGAGTAAAGGGAAGGCTTCTCAGAGAATGACATTTAGCCTGAGATCTGAAGGATTGATAAGAACTAACTACAAAGAAAGAGGAGGCCAAAGATGCTTTGGTGGTATGAAAGTGGGAGGACAGGAGATTCTCACTTGTCCGTGCTCTAGACTGTGATAATGAAGCAATGATGGCAGCCTCACAGTGAAGTCTGGCCTGCACAGTGCTGACTTGCAAAGAAAAAGTTCTGTTGGTGTTATCACAGGTTGTTCTGATAGTGAGGGGGTCTCAAACATAGTTAATGAGTTTAGAAAAATAGTAAATAGATGCCTGTTTAAGGTCTATTGATGAGCAGGTTGTGAGATTTTTATTCCAGGAACTAAGGATTTATGGTCAAGTGACCCTGGCATAAAGAACTGAAAAAAAGTACAAGACGCACCATCTGTGAGGAAGCCTGATAGCTGCCTCCCCCCCAACACACTCATGAACCTACAGCACAGGACATGTTATCTGCAAGGAAGCCTCTCAGTGGCTCTTGGACCACTGGCTTGGCCTCTGTCCTGTTTGGGCAAGTGTCCTGTTTGGGCAGGTCTTTTAGCTCTGCCAATTAAGTGCCCTGAAGCATTCCAATATGCCAACAAGCCTCAGCCTGAAGGAGCTCAGCTTCAGTTCTGTGAGCTGGCAAACCTAATTCCTCCAGGAAGTGCCCAAGACGCTCTGACCCTACCAAGCCTTCTGCTTAGAGGTTCTCAGCTTTCTCAGTCCATGGGCCATGAAGCCCACCACTGTCTTGCACTGGTCTCCTCGTTTTGCAGCCTCTGATTCTGTATCGCTGCTTCTCATTGTCTTGCACCATCTCCAGTGTTCAGCCTGACTCCTGCATAGAGGAAGTTCTTGGTACAGGGATCCCAGATCCAAAGGATGTGCTCCACTCCTAGCTCTTCTGTTTTGATGGTCATGAGAT